TTATGATCTAGTCTTGAAGAGAAAAGATAGACGGCCAGCTTGTGCGTGCGGGATTTACTTACTTTAAGACTAAAGGGACAAGAGTTGCTAAACGCACCACAATCATATGCGTTGCGTTTAGCAACTCTTCACGACTCAACGAGGCCGGTGGGGCAGATTAAGGAACAGATATATCGACTGATATCTGACTAATATCCGGGGCCGATAAATAATGCTTCTTAGTACTACCTTTCCTTCAAAGGAGTAATGAAAGTGGGAAAATGATTGTGGGTCGTAGGCCTTTTTATTCGTTTTTCTATTTACGTAAGCGATTATATAAAGAAAAATATATTTTTTTTTATGCGAAAAGTTGTCAAACGAGCAGACGGTTCACCTGATGTTAAGTGAATACCGCCGCCCATGGACATCTGCTACACTCGAGGGTTACAGATGCGTTGACAACCTTTTGAAAATTGGGCTCCGGCTACCCCACTCACCAGACGAAACGCGAAAGTATTTGTCATACTTCCACTTTACGCCGGTCTTCTGTGAGGTCGTGGTACTTACCCGGACGGGCCTGCCCATTCGTGCAACAGCCGAGGCTGCTGCGTGGCCCTACCACCGTAAAAGGTAGTAGGGCCACGAAATTTTAAATATTATTCCTATGCTTCATATGCCTAATTAATTTCTGATTTGCACTTTTCGGACCAAATGGAGTTTATTAATTAACTTCATACTTCTAAAATGTAAAATGTAGATATTTCATTTTCTTGTCCCATGTTCCTTTCTGATGAACTTTTATATTTTATACACCATTTGGACTCACTTTGGTATTTTGTAGCTAATTTTAATGTTTTGCCTATTAAAATCCTTATAAATATGTTATTTTATTTTCTAATATACTTTCTAAGAGTAAACTTTTTCTGTATCTATAGGTAATTCCTGTGTTGTTATATTCTTCTCTTTATCTACTTATTTTTGGATTTATAACTCCTATAGTATATCATCACAATTCTCATAATGACTTTTTCTGTATTTTAATCTTTGCTTATCTTTAACCACTTTACTCATCAGGATTAGTTTGTAGTTCTAACAGAATGTAAGATGGAGGGAAGGGAGTTCGTTTATTTTCCTGTTTTGTGTTCCCTTGCTTTAAGGGATTCGTTTAACTTCAACATTGATTTTCTAGTATCCTAGATTAACTTTTCATCTTTTTAATCACCTTTTACACTGACATTTTAATCTGTTTTCTAGTTTGTACTTCAATACTTCTTTAATTTTTATTTAATTTCAACCAATTTGCGTTTCACATGGTTATTGAAGTACTTGGGGCTCACCTTGGAAAGAATTTCAATGGGCTACGAAAATTGTTTGATAACTGTTCACCCCTTTTTTACAATAAAAATAGCAGTGACGATAAATCTTCAAGATCGTGGATCAAAACACTTAAAAATTGTAAACAAGTACTGGCCACTACGTTTATTTTAAATTTCGAGCACCGTTTGCCATTAAGGCTATCCTCTTCGAACCATTTGTCCGCTTCGATGTGCGTTCTATGGATTATAAGTCAGAGCTTTTCCTATTTATCTTGATAATTGATGATAATCTCTTTATATGATGTAGTGAATACTAACAACTTATAATTTCTGTTTTACTAGTTTATATTTAAATTTGAATTACTGCTTCAAATAGAACTGGAAAAAGCGTGATTATAATGCAAAAACTACGTAAAACAATTCGGATTTGTGGATCATTAAATTTTTACTTGCTATGTGGTTTGGAATATATGAATGGAATTAGACAGGAATTCCGTTTATTTTGTTTATACGAACTAATCACAAAAGTGTCCCATAGTATTAAATTATTCACGTATTTTCCTCAAACAAACAACTTCTCGCATAAGTTGTTGCGCGCGTACCAAGTACGACAGCCTCGAATGCACTTAGAATTTTTAATATTTCATTACTATTGTCAGTTACCATTAAAATTCTGTAATTACTTCTTCATAGACTGAGGCGCTCTAAACTATTGATGGTATAATGAAGAGACTATATAAGATATTTTATTTTTATTTTCATAGGCATAAAATTTAAACATTACTATATTATCCAAAGTTTGCACAAAATATGTTTAGGAATGTAAACTCATACCTAATATGCTAGAGAACTTAACCTTAATTGAAATTAATAGATAGAAAAAACTAGAATATGACTAATATATAAATAATACATTAATAATAGAAACATGTTATGGAGTTAACAGTTGAGAGTTAGCAGTTACTTTTTATGTAAAATGGAATTACATCAAGAGTGAATCGGTTTTTACTGAGCTAGCGCGTTTACCATCAAAGGCTGCATCATTACTTACCTTCTGGTAGGATGGTAGTCAAGCTGGCCAGTTTTGAATTAAAAAAATTATTTCAACAGATGTCAAGACATCTGCAACCCCTGATGTGATGAATCTTTTTTTTATGTGAAAGTTGCCAAACACCCGAGTTACAGATGCGTTGACAACTTTTTGAAAATTGGGCTCCGGCTACCTCACTCACCAGACGAAACGCGAAAGTATTTGTCATACTTCCACTTTATGCCGGTCTTCTGTGAGGTCGTGGTAGTAACCCGGACGGGCCTGCCCATTCGTGCAACACCCGAGGCTGCTGCGTGGCCCTACTACCGTAAAATCTTTAAAATCTATGAAATATGAATCTTTAAAAAATATGCGCACGTTACCAGGTGAGTAACCCAACGAAAGAATAATACTTCCACTGCATGCTGGTCTTTTATATATTCCGCGTAAAGCCTGCCCATTAGTTCAACAGAAGAAGTTGATGCGAGGCCCTACCAGAGGCTGTGAAAGTGCCTTTTTAAAACAACCAACTGCATTCTTGATGAGCCTATTACTTTGAGCATGAAATGGACGCAATAACGCCATGTTAATTTTTTTTTTCATAGTGCCATCTCTATAAGCGATGGGGAGATTATTAAATTAAATGTATCCTCAGACGTGTTTAATGAACTGCCTCTATATTTTTTTTTGTTCTTTTTCGAAATTTCTTTCATAATTCTATATTCTATAAGGTGAAAACGGACATTTTGAATCCACCCTGATTCAAAATGTCCGTTTTACATTTAAGGCATTCAACATGATTAGTTCACAAATGTGGGCGGCATTGTGCGCTTCGACCCATTGTGATGAGACGATAATTGCAATTCAGGGCGCGCTTGGCGCACGCACGTTCGTACTCGGATTAGCGCCGATCACTCTTCCTTCCGTTAGTTTGTGACAATGCGAGATTCGCCCGGACCGGTGCCGAATGCCGCCCTTCGGTGATTCATTAGAACGCGATTAGATGATAAATTGTTTTCAAACGTTTGAACGAACGCGGCCCAACGTTGCCCGAAATGTTTATCGTAACACCTAGTTTTAACTTCTACTGTTTATTCGTATTTATTTGCTAATTTCGTACCCACAGGCGTATAAAAATATTGAACTTAATAAAAATGCATTGCCTAAACATACAATTCTTGCCGCAGGATCACAAATGGAAAATTAAAATAAAAAAAATATATATGCACTACAAACATATTGAAACATAAAATTATACATTCTACAATTGCGGAAACGTATTTGATTTTTATTTGCAACAATTAGTTTTTTGCCTGTTCAGAGGGCTTTCATAAACGACCAATTAACAAGAAAAATATTGATAATATACGTAAAAGAAAAATGGGATCCAAAAGATTCTTTTCATAAAAGTAATTAAAGTGTTTTATTACCTGTAACCAGGTAGTAAAACTTACAGTAGGTTTAGTACTAACCAAATAAGTGGGGTTTGTAATGAAACGGTTATTTCTGAATTAGTTACCATTTAATTTTGTTTTTACCTTATCCAACATCTTGTTATTTTTCTATTAAGGGTAGAAAGCAACATTATAAGCGATGACACTAAAAAGTATGAAAAATACATAAATTAAAAGTTTAAATCGTCAACGAAATTAACCTCAATTTAAAAGAAAGCACTCATAAAACAATAAAACAAACAATATAAATCACGATAAACAGTATAATGTATAAGATTTATTTTTTGAAGTCGGGTCATCTAACCTGTTTTTGTATACCTAACCCAAATGTTCGCGGCTGTTATAAAAGCTTCAACGCTAAAGCCTTTAAGTGAAATATTTGGAATAATGTTTTTGTATTTGCGAGTTAAACATAACATGGCTGTTGTGATAGGCCGAGATTTACATAAGTGATTAAGGCAACGGGACTTTCGTCGATGGGAGTAAATTAAGCGTAATGATAAGACAGTGGCGTTAAGGAGTGTATCAAAGGAGACCTTTCGCCGAAGACTGGTTTCAGCACCGTTGTCTGACCCAGGCACTGCGTGCTCTCTTTGTGATACAATGCAGTTTTTGGGATTGTCAATGTACATTGTAATTGATCAATAGAGTTACAGGGTGCTCCTTGAAGAGGATCAGATTTGATAAACAACCTACATTACCTACAGGGATATTATTCATGTTGTTGCGACGTTTTACAGACATTAGTTGCACGGATAAGCATCCAGATTCGGTATAGTTCAGTAAGTCACAAAATACGTGTTACGTTCAGTTTAGAATTTGCGTTAACAGAGCCATCGACTAATTTTTAAAACAATTTCACGTCGTTAAAACGAAATTTAGGTATATATTAATAATAGTAATCAGTAAATTAGTTTGAACAAATTTTTGTAATAAAAAAAAAGAACACGGAAGTTCTAGAAAAAAAGGCGGTCGTTATATAAAAGGTCTTTAACTATATTTTAATCAAGCGACATATCTATCAGGATTTTTTTGGAATCAATTAACATTTTCTCACATTTAAATGGTATATGTGGCAGCGTAGATCATAAAATTAATTGCTGTCTTATGACATCGGTTAGTTGTCGAAGAGCGTGTTAACTAGACTGTGGTCTCGGCGAGACGCGTTTTCCTTAGTAAAGGCTCGAGGAAGTCCTTTGTGATTCTGGGACACCCTGTGCGATGGAGGCGACCGCGATAGCGAATATAACTGCGCTGCAGCGGTTCCGCCAACGCACTCGCACGCACGTCTCCGACGCAACCGTGAGTATCCTCTTCATAGTTACTGTAAGAATTTACACGCTGCGATCATATTAAAAATAAATCGTTATTTGATTCGTGAAAATTATCGTTTGAAATGGTAACTTTTTTTTTAATAATTTTAATGTTTGAAAAACTAATATTATTGGTATCATAATTAATATTATACAGTGATAGTAGAAAATGCGAATAAATTCACTCGGTTCTTATCGATGCTTCTTTGAATATTAACGGTGAGACAATTTTTGGTATAATTTATAATGCTTATGAATTAAAACTAATGGAATAACACTAACTCATATTATAGTGGATTCGATAGTTTCCTAACGCAGGATTGACTTCTTATAATTAGCTTTTAATGAAATTTTTGTCACGTGGAATATTCGAGAGTTACTTTAATTTCTGTAAAGTCAATTAAGGACGTTACAAATTTATTGGCCTCATAATTACATACGGAACATATTATTATTATCAAATTCATTTCCCAACGAAATAGGCGTGTGCTTATTAATACAAAGTTCATTTAGGATTTAATTCGTTTAGATTATTGATATAACCTGTGCAACAGCAAAAAAGGTGTAAACATTAGGAGAAGGATTAACTTGGGCTGATTTATGACCCATTAGGGGTTGTGGCGGTCTTATTAGGTAAGATATAGTGAAAACGAAAGAGAATTACCGTGATTACGAAGAAAACACTGTGTCACGCGTAGTCAGCACGCGTCTGATAAATGGTATTTTCTTTACACGGGATCGATCAGGCGTTGTTTACGACGTGTTTACATCGGGGCGTGTTTCGTCATTGCCTAATACATATTTAAAGGTGCGAATACTTCGCTGTGGAGCTTCGCTTTATTATGTTTTCATCACGAGGGTGGATGAAGTGCGAAGTCGTTAATTCAAGCTTAGACATGTATATTTCGTATATGTCTGTTCAGCATATCAAACGCCTTTCAAAACGTTTTAAATGTGTAAGAAGTCTCGAAAATCGTAAAATTTAAGCCTTTAAATGCATTCTAAAGAGAAAGCGAGTAAGAGATATTAGAAATAAACCTGGAGGATAATAATTGAAATTGAATCAGTTCAATTTTATTCGAAATCTTGTGATCGCTGGTTGATATTTTTTCAGTGTGAGAAAGGTGTTTTTATTTTACCTGATATTACTGTTGTTTTAAACTTAAACAATTTCTCTATGTGACTAAAAATATTTGTTGACGATTCTTTTGGATTAATAGATCAATGCTAGTTATTTTACGTAGAATACGTCTGTGTAAATACGGTGTTTACACTGCCCAAAGTGTAATAGCATACGAAAGAAAAATATTATTGTTTTTATCAAATAAATTTCTCTTGTATTTATATGAATTTCATAACATAGACAAATTTTATTTTTATATTCAATAGCCCTTTATTTAACAGTTTTTTTCTACCAGTATTATCTCAACTAATTCTAAAAATGTTTGTTAAGTAGCAATTTATAAGACCGATTCCATTTTTATTATTCAAGAGTAAAAACAATTTCTAGAATCAGACTACGAAAAGTTACTTTGAAAGTCACTCACATTTTAACAAATCGGTTATTTTCGTCGTAGACGATGAGTCGACCCGGGTCGAACCCGAATTTATTCTGCGAGGTCCGCTCGAATTCCACAGACTTAATATTAGTCTACAGTACGGTGCCTCGCGGGTTATCGTAATTGAAGACTTGCTCAAGGTACCGCACCTGGGGTGGAAATTACATTTACATACGTAAACAAGCGGCGGTACGTGAAATGAAGGGCTCTGTGTTGCTTCGTGATTTTCTATGGCTGCCGTTAAAGTCGCATTCGAGGTAGTACGCACCTGGCTGTAGAGTATTGCAATTACTGGAACAGCATGTAACGAATATATAATTTGTTCGTATGAAAAATAATTCATTTTTTCTCCTTGGTAAATGTTTTCTACTTATATTTCGCACAAACAGAATTACATGTGCCACAAATGTGTTTTCCATTTAATTTGTCTCTGATCGACAGTCGACAAAGTTGCGAGAGAACTTTCAAGACAGAATAATAACACTAATATTATAAATAATAAAGTTTGTGCACAAGCGAAATGAAGCAGTCACATGCCGCAACGTTGTTTCATTACAATTATTTCAAATTTGTATATAATGTCCGGTTTACAATAACACTAAATAAAATAAAATAAAATAAACTTTTTAATTCGTTAGTAAATGATTCGTAAAGCTGCAAATATTGCTAATATTTTGTAGACACAAAGTCTGTCCAGCGCTAGAGCGACGTATAAATGAATATTGGAATAAAAATGTAGTTTGGAAGTATATAACAAATTATTTTTAAACAGGTTAAGTTAGAATTAAAATTCTCTCTATTCCAGGACTCAATCAATCTTTTGCAGCCTCTTATTTTAACTTCTTGTCGATTGTCATTTGTTTTTCTCCTTCTTTTAATGTTTCTTTTACTGAGAGATACGAATTTCCTATTTTAATTTCAAATTAAACTAGATGAAATCCTTAAAATTCACTTTAGTTTTTAATGTTTCACCCACTAGTACCATCTCAAAATTTAATTGAGTTGTTTTTTAATTAGTATCTTATATTTTAATTATATCTCGTTGGTATTTGGTCGCCTTTAACCACAGATTCTGTTGAACCAATTTTAATGCTCCGTGGCGTGGAATCGGTACCCGGTGAATTATTTATTTGAAGTAATTTGTATGTATATTCTTGTATTGTATTGTGATATCTTACAGTTACGGTAATTTTTAAATAGGAATAGGACGGACGGGAGGGAGCCGGCCAACCATAGATTTTGCGGCATCTGTCAATTAAAATAAAGTGTAAGTGAACAATCCAAATAAAGTGATCGTGTTTTTCTCTTTTTGATTTTACTGTGCTCTTTATTACTTGTAAATGGACAGCGAAAGCAATTCGTCATTATTTCTTTGATTACTCGCGAAAGTTACGACGAAACAGAGCGTCGCAGAGCCATCAAGATAGACAAAGGTTTCACTTTCGGTGACCCGAGCTGGCAGAGGATAACGACACTGGATGTGAACTCATCATCGGCCCTTTGTATGCCCGCGGCGTGGTCATATGCAGCCACCAACTCGTTGGTGCGTTGGCGCTCGCTACGTGAGCTGCATAAGAAACGGTTCTGGACACTATTTCAAATCGACGCCCAATACGCGAACTCGCACACTGAGTCAAGGTAGAAATTGACAAGTAAAAAAAGTAACGGCGAAGTTTATTATTGTATTTCCCTTCATGATAGAGAATAGTTGATTTGCGTCTGCTATCATCGGTCAAGGTTAAGCAGAAAACATTAAGAAATTACTTCGGAAGTATAAAGTTAAGCAGAAATTTGAAGAACATTAAGGAATTATTTCGAAAGTATTTGAAGACCAATTTTGTTTATGAACTGATTTTATTCTACATCTATATTAAGCCGAATAATACCAATTTTAGAGTTTAAAATTAACAGTTTTGTGTCAATCTATAAATTGTTTAATTTGCAGAATAAGAAAACATCTGGGAAACGTTATTTAAATTTATCGAGTTAATTAAGCAGGGATTTATAATAATAGTTAATAATTTAAAGTAATAAGTAATTTATTCAGATCATTAATACGAAATTACATCGTAACTCATTAAGCTTGAGGTTGCTGATTCATACGAATTGACCGGTTATTATAATTTTGATCAATTTAAATTAAGACGGACAGAGTTATTGGTATTATGATAAAGAATTGAGTTCCACAGGTGTCTTAAATGTCTGTACAGTAACGTCAAATTGATTTATGAATGATAAAAATATTTACTTAAAAATTACCAGGTGTCATTTTAATTATTACATTAACGCGTATGTATATTCTAAACTTTACGGTTGTCACAATTTACTTTCAGGGTTTATATATAGCAATTTTTTTTAATTAGTCAGTGAATTTCGGCTAATGCGCTTTTTAGAACCACCATTTAACCGTTGTCTTTATTTCTCTAACCAACAATTCTGACGTATTATTTAAATGTTTGCATTGCCTCGTGTTTTGTTTACTTTTACATATTCTTACTTTATTTCTGCATCAGCCGTAGGCTGGTTTTGAGTGGCTAAGGCAGTACGGAAGATTAGTGTAACAATCTAAATTACTTGTTTTTTTTTATTTACGACAATAAAATTATATGCTACGACTCCAAGCAAGTTGTGCGAGTGATGGTGGTCAATGTAATTCCTTCAATATAATCAATCTATTGTTTTTTTTTCTTAGCAAAAAGTTCGAAAACTTGAGTAAAAGATAACAAGCTGATACTTGAAATAAAATATTTCAGGGAGATCCCAACTAATCTAATGGCCATTACAATATATTTATATTACGCATTAGACGTTGGGATTCAAGCCTGTATCTAAAATTAAGTTAATAACACATTTTTCCTTACGATTATAATAAATAACGTTTTCAGCGTCATTTTAACTTCAGCAGCTTAAACTCAATTAACAGAAGCACAGAGTAAACTTTAAAAAACCGATAAATTTACCTTAGTTGGATGGCTACAGAGGCTTGGCAAACATTGTGAAATGTATGTAGGCCCATAAAATTATTAGGTATTGCAGGAAGACAAAGGTTGTGTCAACGCTATGAAATGAATTTCAATCGACTGATGAGTAAGCACTACGATGTTCATACTATTGGCAGGGTTTCTTTTGTTTAATGTTGCTTTGTTCGGAATTTACTTCCTAATTTGAGCGATGCATCTTTAGTGATATTTTATTGCACGTTTTAATGACGGGGATGATAAGATTTTATTGTTATCGAGATGTGAATAAATGAGATTGGACGCTCGAATCGAGATAATGCCTTGGGATGAGATAGAGAATTCGGAGTGACGGACGTTCTGAACCGTATGACTTAAAATACTTGAAAGTTTCGAAAAACATAAGGCTTTGACGCTTTTCTCATCTCTTTCTGTGATATAAAATATTAGCTCTGTCTTCAATAGCTACTTTTTCTTCTCTTTATTTTTTGCATCGATAATATGTGACAACATGAGAGACAAAATTTAAAAAGTTGTTAAGGATACATGTTAGCGTTTACGGTCCAAACCCATTTATTATATTAAAGAAACATAAAAAGCAAGATAAAAATCATGCCCGAACAAATGCTTTCACAATAAGGTTATCATAACCTTTCGATTTAAAATAACCGTATTGAATAAACATTACGCCTAACAATGTTTCATCGGAAAAACCGGAATAAATTAAATCTATTTGTGATCTGTGTAGGCCTCTGTACCTACGTTGGGTTATATCGATAACCCGAATATTCGCAAGCTGTACATCTGAAGCGGCATCTGGTCGTATAGAATTGCGGTCATGTTAGACATGCGGGTACCAGGTTAATGGGTGAGTGTCAGAATGACAACTCGAGCAATGGTCCCGTTATCGATAACCGTTATATAGTCTATCGCACGTCGATACATGTCCCCTCTCTAATTAACCGCAACTTAACGAGTAAGTTACTCGCGAAACGTCTCACAGTTGGATAGAAGGTTTGGGGATCATGTCTTGTGTAAAAGTTTGGTTATTGTGACTCATTTATTAGTGTTCTAATTACCGTTAAACTTTTAATCTCCTCAGAGTTAATTAGGAAAAGAAGCGATCGGCTTTATTCAATTTGATTCAATTAACCGGTACGGTTTATAATTCGATATTAACAAGTTGTTTTTCATTTCTTTTCTAAAGTTTGTATTAATTCTTATCAGTATTAACGGATAAAGTTTACTACTTTCTTTTGCTTCATTTTATACAATTTTAACTTGACTAAGAGAGAGATAAATTTATAAAATTTATAAAAAAATCTGTCTTAGAAGAATTCTTTGTGACCTAAGACATGAATCTGAGACAATAAACAATGATCTCTATTTGAAAAACTAAGCACGAACTAAGTAACGCACGAAGTAAACTAAGAAGTCACACGGCAATCATGACATTAAGCTGAATTGGGATAATCTGTCGACTATTAAATACATTTCATTATAAATAATTATGGATATATTTGATGAATTAAAAACTTTAAACGAAAGTATCTAATATTAATTTGATGGCCATATAGAAATCGTATAGTAATTAATAATTATAACTCTGCATTGTGAACAGTCACCTTTGGATGGAACTGTACTCAGTTACAATTCCATGAGCATATCGTTGCTTAATTAAACGTGTATATAACTATTGCAGGTCAAAATGCGTGTGATACTAGCGACGTTGGCTGTCCTTGCAGTAGTGACAACTGCAAAAGAATGTAAGTGATATTTTGTCTAATGGAACTTTATCGTACGAGTCACTATTAGCGGTGTTTCGTTTGTTCGATCTTACTACGATATTCCATTTTAATTAGATTTTCGAGCCTTGACAAAATGCAATGATTACACCAAAAAAAAATGGACTCGTCAGTTGATATTGCCAGCCGATGCAAGTGAAATATTTTTAATTAAATTGACGACCCGAATGGCGTGGGGAGTAGTGAACCTGCCTCTTGCGCCAGAGGGTGTGGGTTCGATGTTCGGGTTCGAAATATTGTTGATAAACAGTGTTTTCCAGTGTCTGGGTCTTTATATATGTATAATATGTATTTATTTACAAAAGAAAAGTATGTTTATCAGTTATGTAGTACCCATAGTACCTACAAGCATTGCTAATGTATCCAGTTGGATGTAATGTGAATTCAAAAGTAATTCTTGTCGTGGTACCATTCCTTAAATTTTAAAAATGGAAATAAACAAAAAGCATTTTTAATGTTCACGATAAAACTGTACTTATGAAACATTTCGTAACTACAAATATTCGACATCATTTCAAAATTATACCAAGGTAATAACCGTTGTATAAATAACCAGTGTCTACAATTTTAAATATATTGTTGTACGCTGTCATTGAATGAACGACACTTTCAACTAAACTTGTATTGACAAACTTATTCAATTACAATCAAATTAAGAGCTAATTGCCCAACAGACTTAATAAATCGGCCCTAGGAGCTTCAGTAAAGCTTAGCAATTAAGAAATACGAAAAGCCCTCGGGACGTACATCCGCGTGAGATTGCTTTAAAGTTGGAAAGTGCTAATATGAGTTTATGGTTGATTTCACCCAGCGGACAGCAGAGCGCGTATTGTGTGCTACTTCAGTAACTGGGCAGTGTACCGCCCAAGGCGTGGGACGTTACGGTATAGAGGACATACCCGTGGAGAAATGCACACACATTATATATTCCTTCATCGGAGTCACCGAGAAAACGAACGAGGTCATGGTCATTGACCCCGAGGTGAGTGTAGTGTATCTTTGAGAAAGAATGTGGAATTTCTTTATCAGATGTCACTATTGACTCGTGAAATTCACCGAGGAGATAAGTCGCAGTTACCAACATATAAAAATGCTAAAGCTAACCAAAAGCTAATCTTTAGATAAACACCTATGTCCAACTTTTAAAAGTGTATTGTTTATTTTCTGAAGATTTTATTCAACTCTCATACGTATTTTATGTGATAAACTAACTGGTAAGGTTTGTCTTCTTTGGTTGCGAAATAGCTATTTATCTTCAGGAGTCTTCTTGCTTATTTCTTAATAAAGAAAATACACATAAGATTAATTCAATATATTGAACCTGGCTCCAAAATCTAGATACTGGCACGGATGAAAAAAAAAATCATCGTGATGAAAAATCATAAACACATTCTCGAAATAATTTAATTGAGGACTCCGTGGCGCAGTTGCTAAGGCATTGCCTTCGGCGTCGTAGGTCGTGGGTTCGATTCCCACACGGGACAACTACTTGTATGACCCACACATAGTTGTCTCGCATCTGGGTGTTTGTCCACGCGAAAATTATGTTTGTAAAACGTCCTTACAGCATATGTTATCCTAAAGTATGGGCAATGATTTTTGATAAAAAAAATTTAAAGATTCATATCTTTGTTTTTATCAAAAATCAGTATGCCAATCCGAAGGTTGCGTGGTGGAATATGTCCTAATACCCTGTATAGAGGAGGCCCTTGCCCAACAATGTGATACAAATATGCTGTTACTTGTAAAGAAGTTTATTTAAATTCCTAGTCAGCGTTTGTTAAGTTTTAATGCGAAAGTGTCTTCCGCATTGTCTTAAAGAATATTCGCAAGCCGAGTAGAATTAAGTAATTTATACTAATTTTCCAATGATTAAAAATATCTGAAGCACTCACAGCCTCCTCGTGAAACCGTTATGAAAAGTTACACACACAAACTTTTATTACTTGGTTCTCATATAACACGCCTAAGTAATGGATAAACTTAGTTACGTAAAGATAAAAATCTTAGTAAATGGACTTTGTCTTAATTAAGGATCTTTATCTCACCAATTTTATTACACGTATTCCTTTTTGCTGTAGCTCCTTAGATGTTTTATGAATAAGGATGAACCTAGATATTTAGACTTTGATTGAAATATGTACAAAAGAAAAAGGACAATAGCAAAGAAAACCACTTCACCGAAGCACGATTTCATTACAGTTCCTATTGGATTATTTACATTAGTAATAGAATTCGAACTATTTTCTATTCTTGAATTAACATCGAAGACGTCTTATTAAATGACAAATCGACTTCAACGACTTGTTGTGCTTATCAATTCCGCCGGCAATAATAATGATGATAATATGCATAAATTAGACCGTGAACATCATGGGCGGGTTAAAATAGGGATGATAAACGACGACTCGAATGGCGTAGTGGGTAGTATACCTGCTTCCTGCGTCAGATGGTGTGGGTTCGATCCCCACTACAGGAAAAATATTATGTGATGAACATAGTGTTTTTCTGGTGTCTGGGTGTTTATATATGTATTATAATATGTATTTTATTTACAAAAGAAAAGTATCTTTAAGTATGTTTATCAGTTATCTAGTACCCATAGTACAAGCGTTGCTTAGTTTGGGACTAGAGAACGTTGTGAAAAAAATGTGTCCTAAAATATTTATTTATTTATAACATTATCCATAACATTATAAAGTTCCCATATTCAGTTTAAAAACAGAACACGAAATCCGCAACACCCCGTGTTGCATCGCGCTGTGTTTGCTTACAAATAATAATCCCACAGTTAGACGTCGAGAAGAGCGGCTTCAGGAACTTCACTTCGCTGCGCGCCTCCCACCCCGGCGTCAAGTTCATGGTGGCGGTTGGGGGTTGGGCGGAGGGTGGCTCGAAGTACTCCCACATGGTGGCCCAGAAGACCTCCCGAATGACGTTCGTCAGGAGCGTAGTAGGTGAGCACTGAGCTGTTTACACATCAGCATTTGTCGTCAAAACTCCGGTTCTCTACGACAAAAACCAACAATTTCTTTTATACGTCGAAACTAAGCTTGTGCTGTCTCATCTCTCTGAGCTGAGCTGATCTCGATTCTTTTCGATTTCGCGACCGACTTGACTAAAACGGAGATTATTAAACATTTAATAAAATCTCCGGCGTGTACCGTGCATAGAAATATTCTCTCAATTTATATTAAATTTAAACCTCCGTACACTCAGCAATATTCCTGCTACACATAGAATACGTATTAAGGCTATTTTCATCGTTTTAAATCTATTTCACACACTTCAAAGTTGTAGGCAAGTATTTAACTATAAGGAACCGAGGCGAGGATTTGGCGTTTAAAGTGCTAGTTATTTCTTCTTTAAACAAAATACAAGTTGCAGTTAACGGGCTTAGAGTCGAGGAGAAATGACTTGAGAATAATGATATGCATGAGAAAGGAGAGCGCGCCGGTTGAATGCTTAACGTTCCTTCACAAGAGGTCTCTCCAAATGTTCTCTCATAACCTGAAATACTGAAAGGCTTCCTAGATCCGTGTAGGTCAAACGCTCTAAGCTGATATTAAAATGCTTCCATGCAGTCTGAATATAAAACAAGGTTTTATCTAACTTTGTTACATTTTGCAGAATTTAAAAATAACTTTTTTGTTCAGTTCATACAGATTTCATTTATAAAGAAGCAATGTTGAACAGCATATATTCAATAATATTATAAATATATTTTAAATTCCGCTAAACGTTAAATAATAGCCGTTATAGCTCAGTCAACATACTTTAGCAGTTCAAATTTAGCATCAATAAGATGGTTAATTTCAATTTTAACTTTTTAATTTTTGCTGATTTGTCACGCGCTCAGCGATGAAGGAAAGCTACTTGAGGAAGCCTACATATTTGAGAAATAGTAATAAAAAGTTATTCTACTATTTCCTTACAGCCTTATATAGGTACCTTCTATACAGAAGAGGCTTTGCTTATCATTGTAGCTGTTACTTTATCGTTTAATAAGTATATCAATCTCGGAATACCAGTTTATACATAGAGATGATGGCAGTGTCTGTTATTTAGTAAGACAGACACTTAAGCAATTCCGCGGTCGGAAATTGTGAGTTAATGCCCGTAGGAATTATTACCCCGAGAGGCTTGGAAATTGCGCCTTCCGCGTGTTTGTTGAAAGGTTTACCGTGTAATTTGTTGACAGTTCACACATAGCAAATGAAAATATTTAACGTGTACACACAGGTAAAATAGTTTAGATATTCAGTTTAAAATTAGAACATAAAATTTTTTCATTGAAATTTTGATGACTCGTAAACTTTCTAATTACAATGTTTACTATTTCCGTTTTCAAAAAAAGGTATTTATAGAAAAAAAAAGTTCGTTATCTCTTATTTTCTCTTTAAAAATCTTCCACAATTTCACCATTAATTCGAAAAACAATATGTATAAAGTAAATTTTCCACTAGGTTAAGACTTTAAAGTACATTATTAACAGGTACTATTATGATTAATAACAAATATGCAAAGGTGCCAAGATATGTAAAATTGGTTTATTTTATATTTTCTTATGTTTGCGATATAGACTGAAATGTTAATGCATTTCCCCTAGCCCAGGAGAATAAAATAAAGGACTATTCCTTAATGTGACCTCCATTAGTGTCGTTACAATGTATCCACGGCCCACGAAGAACTGTTACTGCAAATTGCTTTTTTTACTCCCCTTAATGTGCAGTTAGTGCTAATTGTGTTATTATTTCAGAAAAGCCTGTCTTGTACGTACAATTTTCTCAAAACTGTATATGCCTACATTAATGCTCATTTTTTTTTTTTGAAATAGAGTTCTTGATATTTTTTTCACGTATTATATATATGGTGCTGTTTATCTACTATAAAGCTTTTACAGTGAATTGCTTTTAACTTAGCCCCGGATCTGAGTGATTTATCATCCATCGGAGCATCGTGAGCTTTTACTACCATTATTTTGCATTTCCGTTAACATGAAAACGTGTTTCAACGCTGTATAAGTTCGTCGACGAATTCATTTCGTCTCCTTCCCCGACAAACATTTCTGCTGGGGCAGGGATCGTTTAAAATAACACTGACTACCCAAAGTGACTCGCGAGTTATGGCAAGGGAATTTTTTATATGCCCACGCTACCCGCTCCTGGCTTTGGGTATGCGAATAAACGTCATATTTCCATGGGGCATATTACTCGTGCTCGGAATAAATCCCTCCTTGTATGCGCAACACGACGTTTAATTATTTTCCATGATCGCTTTAAAGGAACGCCGCTGTCGAGTGTAGATAATTAGAACGGCGTGCTTTGATTTTTCAATGAGTCATTTTCGCCTTTGATGTTTCACGTTTTTTTTTGTGTTTTTGATTGCTTTTTTATTTCGGGGGCAAGGGAGATTTTCGCTAGCACGAGTCAAGCACCGTCTTTTATCATAAATAATGAGCAAATAATGTAAATTGTTTCGTTTCTTTATTAATGCCAAATAAATTCATTTCTCGAGGCTTCGTTTCCTCGATTCATAAAGGTTGTTCGGTTTAAAATTTAATATTCAAATATATAGAAGTGAAGAAAAAGTGTTATACAAACTAATTTAATAAATAAGTATTTATTAAATTAGTTTGTATAACATTTTAACGCTCCGTTCCACGAATGTTATGGAAGTATATAAATAATAAATAATTAAAAAAAACATAAAATGTTATACGAATTTGATTAATTAATAATTTTTTTATGGGATAAGTTGGATTACCGCCGCCCATGAACATCTAAACACATATTGCATAAGCGCTGGCAACCTTAAAAATACTACCCGCGGTTGCTTCGCCCATTAGACGAAACTTGAAAGTACAATACTTCCAAATCACGGCGGTCTTCTATAAGGCAGTGGCACTCTCGCACGTAGCCTGTTTGAATGGAGCAGTATCAGATCCTGCTATGTGGCTCTACCATAGTACATCTTTAAAGACTCTTACTTATTGCTCAAGTTATGTTTTTTTTTATGTGGGAAGGGACAAGCAAACTGGCGCTTCACCTGATTTTAAGTGATAATCGCCGCGTGGACGGCGGGCAACACCAGTAGGGTTGCAGATGCATTGCCACCTTAATAAAGTGGGCTCCGTCTCATGAGCATCGTTATGTTTTTTTTTACCACAGACTTCTTGAACAAATACGACTTTGACGGATTGGACCTGGATTGGGAATACCCGGGAGCGGCGGACAGGGGTGGTTCGTTCTCCGACAAGGACCGCTTTCTCTATCTGGTCCAGGAGCTGAGGAGGGCTTTCATTAGGGCTGGCAAGGGTTGGGAGCTGACTGCTGCGGTCCCACTCGCCAACTTCCGTCTGATGGAGGGCTACCACGTGCCGGATCTTTGCCAGTAAGTCTAAGAAGAACTGTTTCGGAAAACTCTTTAATTAAACCTTAAAATTAAAACCTTTTAATTAAGTGGGCCCCGGCTACTTCACTCACCAGACGAAACGCAGAAGTATAAAATTTCTACTTAACGCTGGACTTCTCTGAGGTCTTGGTACTTATACACAGACCTGCCTCTTCGTGCAACAGCGAAGACTGTTGTGTGACCCTATCACCCTAAGTTCTATAGTATATTTATAAGGTACTAGCTGACTTAAAGGTATCGAACTCTATTTAATGGTAAGTAGCGCTCTATCCTAACAAACCATGAACCATTTAGACGGCAAATGAAACATGTGATTAAGGCATCTCTAGAGACCGATCTCGGCCAGCTGTCAGATTTTCAACTTTCTTTTTTGTGTCCGTTCAAACGAAAACATCTTATGAAGGAAAGTTCTCTTTTCCATCAATGTTAAAAAAGAAGTATTAACTTTGAAATTGAAAAACGCCTTTAAATTTAACAGAGTAGAAGCGTGTAGTTTTGTAAATATGTACATACATTTAATTAAGAACAAAATGATGGGCTGCTCGTAAAGTTAAGGTTTGAAATATTTTTCTTAGTAACATAAATGGGGAATAAAACGATACCCTGTTACAGTTTATGGCAAGTTTAGTTTTGTTAAACAAGTCCTTGTGGTAGAACACTGTCTATATAGTCAAAACCTCGCTCAGGCAATAAAATTCATTATAACCAAGGAGTCATTTCATCACCACATTAGCGTTGTTACGACAGTTATAAAATACGAAGTAGCAATTGAAATTTTAATGTTCGCAATATAGATTTCCCGAAAACAGCCCGTAGTAGACATTTTTCGCACTCAAATGGGATTACTTCTCATTTCATTTATAAATTACTTAAAAATGAAGTCGAGTGGAAATTCATTATATGAATAAATGATTGCCCTTTTTTATAAAAGTTGCGCCTATTTCCCAGTTCTGAACAAAGCGACCAATAAAATCTTAAAAGAATTCGACTTCAGGGGTATTAAAATATAGGGCTTACTTTTTTCTTTTATGTTTTAGGTAATGAGAAAAACAAAATCATACCCAACAAAATATGAATATAAAACTCGTTTTGTTTTTCAAGGTTTCATTAAAAGTTCGTTTAGCTATACTTTTATATTTTCAATTATGATGCTCTGTATGAAAAGGTAATGTCTTAAATTAGTTCTGTCCTTTTTTTATGTGTAAAAGTATGTTTTACTCAGTTTTTTTCTTTTTCCACTAGCAAACTACGATCCATTCATCCATCATATGTCATTTGCCCGCAGAGAATTGGACGCCATCCACGTCATGTCGTACGATTTGCGCGGGAATTGGGCCGGCTTCGCGGACGTCCATTCGCCGCTTTACAAGCGCCCTCACGACCAGTGGGCTTATGAGAAACTAAATGTGGTAAGTGCGATAGCGGACTAAGCCCGGCTTACGATACATTTATGGGATGACGACCGACGTAAGCTCGTCCGGCGCGGCGCGGCCCCATGTGTCAGACGCGCGTGCCTCATGTAGATCGGTTTTTATAATCTATGGTCAGTCTAGTCGACTTACGTTCTACATTTCCATTTTCGATTTATATATTGTATATATTAAACTAAATCTATTTTTAACGGATTTATCACGTTTATTTTTAATTACAATTCTTGACGTTTCGAACCGTCTCTACTTTCGTAAAAAGAGTTTGATTAAGTAATGTTGCTGCAGTCGCGTAAATAAAATAAATTCGTGGATAGAACAAATAAAAAACTCAACTAAAATTAAAATTTTAAGTATAATATTTTAGTATTCATTTATTAGTAGGTAATTAGTTTCCAAATAACTATGACCTTATTGGAGTGGATTATGCTTTTACTGGTGTTGTTAGTTGAGTTAGGGACTTTTGGGTTTGAGTTGAAGGTGTAACATAAAGACGGAAAGACAGATATACATAAAATAAATATATACATAAAATTATAGTCTATGTCTTATTCTGATGTATAAGCTATATTAATGTAAAGTTTCATTAAAATACATTAGTGCGTGAAAGAGTAACAAACATCCATCCATACATACAAACTTTCGCCTTTATAATATAAGTAAGGATATTAACCATAATAAGCATCAATTCTTATATCTATCCGCCGAGGGATCGACCCGGGGCGTAGTTGCCGTTTCGTAAATCGCACTGGCGCATTCCTTGCAGAACGACGGGCTTAATCTGTGGGAGGAGAAGGGCTGCCCTTCCAATAAGCTGGTCGTGGGTATCCCATTTTATGGCCGCTCGTTCACATTGTCCGCTGGTAACAACAACTACGGCCTGGGGACTTACATCAATAAGGAGGCAGGTGGCGGCGACCCGGCTCCCTACACAAACGCCACCGGGTTCTGGGCGTACTACGAGGTAAGAATCACATTAACTTTCCGCCAACGAACAAAATTATACCGTATGAAATAAAAGCACACCCGAATACCGAGTTTAAGGTATATCACCATATTTTTAAAATTACTCAAAAGTGTGCACATTTTTAAAAGAATTCCACCAACCCTCAGACTTAATTAGAATTCCACGAGCATTAAATTTGATAATTTGCTGTAAAAACAACCCTTAGTTTTATTAGAATAGCACCGAAACAAGAGAAAGTTAGATACATCGCTTCAAAATTGTATAAATTATAATGTTCTAAAATTCTATTATTACAACACCGAGTATACTAATGTTCGCTTTGTTGATTTCCATTAACTTTAAAATTAAGTTCCGCTTCAAAGTTTTGATGAATGAAGCGTAACTATGTTCATAATTTTTGCATCGTAACCGACACATTCGGAATTTGAATGTGAAATGTTCATAAAACGTATGAGTTATGAAAATTATGGCGTCATCGCAATACCCATATCGTATACAGAACAATGCGTTATTTAAACGACGACAATGCTGTATGAAACAGTTTTTCTTAACAATTTCTTGTTGGTGACGAGATAGTTTCTTGCTGAGCTTATTGATCTTCGGTTACTGTTCCACATTTAGATCTGTACCGAAGTCGATACGGAGGGCTCGGGCTGGACAAAGAAATGGGACGAGCACGGGAAATGTCCCTACGCGTACAAGGGCACCCAGTGGGTCGGATACGAGGACACGCGCAGCGTCGAGATAAAAATGAACTGGATCAAGGAGAAGGGGTACCTCGGGGCGATGACGTGGGCAATCGATATGGACGACTTCAGGGGACTGTGCGGAGAGAAGAATCCACTAATTAATTTGCTCCACAAACACATGGACTCGTATAGGGTGCCCCCGCCGCGCACCGGACACACAACGCCGACTGTAAGTATGGAACTTAAGAAAACGTTTAGATTGGGCTCGGGTAAACATTGCGAGTTCGGGTTGCGATTTAATAGGCTTGTCGAGTGGGGTAAGGGCGGGGGTAACGACTTGTTAAAATATGCCGGCTATAGACGGACGATAAATCGCGCCCGGACAAATGGAGGGCCATTAGTCATTGCGATAACATCTCAGCCGGAGTGGGCGCGGCCGCCGTCGACTACCTACGACCCGTCGGAGGGCGCGCCGGTCACCACGACCACGACGAGCGCGCGGCCGACCACCGCCACGGCCACCACGGCTAAGGCGACCACGACGACCACGAGGCGCACGACGACCACGAGGGCCACGACGACCGCGGCAACGTCGACCACGGAAGATCCCAGCGATGACATCGGACCAATCAACGACAAACCAGAGGAGCCACCGACGGTATCTTTTTTTTATAAACCCGCGTTAATTTCATGTTCTTAAGTTGGTTTTATGATTTTGGTATCTGTTAACGGCAAGTCACTTAAAATTATTGCCCTATCACTGTCTACCGCGCTATGTTAAAGAATACGAGAGCTTTTTTTATTTAACCACATAATATAATATGTATAAAACGATACAATGATTATATATTTAATTTCAATATTGTTTAAAACAAAATATAAACGGTGTCAAATAAACTTGTAGTTTATGATAACTATACAGTTGAACACTTTGTCGTGCTAATTATCTCGTTAGGGGTAATAGATTCAAAGAGGGCCTACCTTTGAAATTGCTTGTGGTTAGGTCAAATGATCTCGTTTCATTGTAGACGTTTCATCTCTTTTTGTTCTTTATAATGATTTAAAATAATTCTTATTAGGAAAATGAAGTGGACAACCCTGGAGATATCTGCGATTCGGAAGAGGATTACGTCCCAGACAAGAAGGCCTGCGATAAGGTACGATAACATGGGCAATTGTACATTGCAATAAAAATAAATACAATGGCGCGCCGCCTTTGTTTGAGATAGCTCGAATGTTTCAATTTATAATTTAAGATCTTATCTATTTTATTGGGCGCATCAAACAAAAAGTAAGGCATTGAAATCTGTTTATGCATTCAGTCTAACCACTTTTAGTCTATAATTATATAAATATTCTAAAATTTCTCAGGGTAAATCAAGATATGTAAATGTCGGAATTCTAGTTTATTAGAGGCTTAACAGTCACTCAGATTCAAAATTGCATCCTTAACGTAAACGAGAGTAGGGTCGCTCTCTTATAGAGTTAAGCGCCTGACGTATGACAGTACATATCCATTACGAGGTTTACGGCGCTCTGAATATTTGCATTTAAATTATTATCAGGCGCAACTTCGACGCTCTATCGCACAGCTTGCTATAGAAAGGAATATTGCTTTAAGAATATTATGTAATCAAAATTGTCTTCGCGATTATTTGTCAGCGTATTTGACGGCGAAAGTAAACATCGTAAATACACCTAAAGTCTGGTCATTTTCACTGGAAATTAAAGTAAAGTAACAACCTATACAAGTCCCACTACCGAGCAAGGGCCTCCTCAGACAGAGGGGTACAGAGGGTATACGGGTATAGTCCACTACGCGGCCACACTGCGTATTGGCAAACTTATTATTTATTATTATTTCCGTTCATATGAATGTTCAAATCAGCACTTAAAATTGACAATTTCATTGATGCTGGCACGTACTCTACCGTAATTCCCATAACGGACGATGCGCATAGGCTTTACTTGTTTTAACAATTTACAAAAAAAAAAACGATATATGAAGCAAAGAAAGTTGTTGATTGATCTCACGACCGCACAGCCACTAGGCAACCTCATCTTATGCGTGCTTTTGTAGAGTCTAACTTCTTTCAAAAATCTTTTACTATTCAGGCTGTACTACTTTGGAACTCCTTGCCTCAGTAAATTACAAATGCAACAAGTAATGTATCATTTAAGGAAATGCTGCGACTTCACTGTGCCAATGTTGCCGATAGTTAGAGTTAACAACATTATCCTTTATATATATATATATATATATATATATATATATATATAATCATATATAAATGTATTTTTAAATATATACATATTTATTTTATATAGAATTTATGTAGGTTTGGAATATATATGTATTTAATAGTTTATACGAGTAGTATTCATGTTTGCGTTTCGTACATTTATATAAAATGCATAATTGTTTTGCAATACGTCAAGTTTTGACTACTGCCAGGGTTGACTGGAAGAGAATGCTTATTAGCGTTAAGTTTGCCTTATGTTGGGGTGTATACAATAAATTTCCAAAAAAAAAATATAGCTCTGATATTTGCTTTCAGTATTGGCGCTGCGTAAACGGAGAAGCTGTCCAGTTCACTTGCCAACCGGGCACCGTGTTCAACACTCAGCTGAACGTTTGCGACTGGCCACAGAGCGCTAAGCGTCTTGACTGCAATTAGCACATTGAAGAAAACTCCAGTGAACACATGCTCCAGACATTATAACGCGTTTTTGCGATGCTTTCCAACAATCGCCTTGTAATTCTCGAGCGTGTATCATAGACAATAATGCATTTGTTTGTTTTTCTCGGCACGTGTTCAATTTAAATAGTATTTAATGTAAGTTATAAACGATTCGTCGAAACTCTCTCAGAGTTGCAGTTCATTCTTTATAGAAGAAGACTTATTTTTTGCTCAGCTGATATGATTTTGCGATTTCGTAGTAGTTTATAAGTTATTAGTTTTTTTATCTTAAATGCTCAAAATGTATGTCTAGTGTTATATCAAGATTTAAGACTGTAAAAAAATATTTGAAAAATATTTGAACTATTCGCGTTAATGCGTAAACGAGATATTTTAAAATTATTTCCGTTTTGTTATTTTATAACATATAATTTTTTAAATGTTAAGAGAAATATACAAAACGAATAATGTAAAAAGATTAAAAATATTATTTCAGTAAATTGTTTTAATAATTCACTACACATATGTCTTTATAGTTACATACAAAAGAGTAGATAATATTTAAAAATGTTTAGTACAGGCTTAAGGATAAAAAGACACTGGCAGTCTGGAGGCTAATATTATATTTATCTCCTGTACGTAATTCGTTTGGAGCCGGGAGCCAATTATAGCTCTCGGCTTCCACTGAATTTAAATGGATTTTCCCGCCACTCGTCGGAAATAGACTCCGCTTCGCTCTTTTAGGTTAATTTATTTATTTTTCCAATAAAATAGTGAATGAAAATACCACTTTTTATTAAAGAACCGGTTCGCTTCGTCCTTTAAATCCTTTTTTCTGAGTAAATATATTGAAAACAGTAAATAGACTCTCAATTACTTTTGATGAAGCTGTCTAAATCATAATGGACCTTAATATACATAAACATGATACTTATACCGCCATAGCCTCATCAATTACTGTTTTGAATGTCTAGCTTTTAACCTAGATTTAATTTAATGGCTTATAGATAATGGTTTTCTTAATCAGTAGCTTTCACTACAATTCCTAAGTAAGAGAAAACATGTAGTAATAATTGTAAAATTAAATAATGTAACATAATGCAAACAGCCACTCTAATAAAAATATATATTTAGTACAATATCTAAATTATATCATAATATCCACCTTCCTCTTAATTTAAAAATTAAAATTAAAATATGATAAAATCCGTAAAATAGTTCCATTTAAAACGAATACTTTGTTCTTCGAATATAGAAGGATATACTAGAATATTTTCCCGAATAGAACAAAGGTAACTGGCATAGCTTAGAGCGTAAGTAATCTGAAGTGGCAATGGGCCGGCCATTTAGCTCACAGAACCGATAATTGATGGTGAATAAAGGTTTTCGAGTGGCAGCCTCGTATAGGCCAACGTAGTGTATGACTGGGGGGTCATAGGGTCGACGTCTAGATGTAGTGACGACCTGTGCAAGTTTACTACGCGAAGTCGATGGATGCAGGTGGCTCAAGATCGTGCTTAGTGACAGTCTGTGGAGGGGCTTATGTTTAGCAGTGGACTCAAACAGGCTGAAATGATGACGATTTCGTTACATTTGAGCACAATAATAACCTTATTTTACTTATCTTTACATGTCCCAATAAATATATTTCCTGTTATATTTACGTACGTAAACAATTTTATGAAATAATTATATCTTTCAATTTTCTGCGGATTCATATTTCAATGCTGACCAAACAGATTTTTTTATGTGAAAAGTTGCTAAGCGAACAGGCGGTTCCTCTGGTGTTAAGTGAATACCGCCGCTCATAGACATCTGCTACATCCGAGGGTTGCAGATGCGTTGAAAACCTTTTTTAAATTGGGCTCCGGCCAACTCAGCAGACGAAACGCAAATAGCGTCTGTTACAAATACGATGAGTCAAGCAAAAAAAACACATTATGCTACTAATACTACGTATGTCCCATATATCTTAATCCCTAACGAATTCAGAGCCGTTTGAAATGTGTTATGTTTCGTCGAATAGCAGTTTCATTCAACTACTCCGTATTTCAAAACTTATTATAATGTTGAAGTTCGTTAAGTGTACAACAGTCCACGCCTTTCCACTAAGAAGTAATTTACAAGAGCAACTAGGAATGTAAAAAGAGTCGACAGCTCATTTTCTCGACGCTTCAAAGACTTTGTCAGCAAAAAATTCTCTTCAGGCCTTGTAAAATGATGTAAAGAAAAACGTCAATCAGATTTTTATCCGGTCTTTTAATATAATAAATTGCCTTTTCCTAAATTATGTTTTCAAAACATTGCAAATACTTTATAAATTCCGGGAACGCCTAATATTATATTTTAGCAAATTTTGTAATGTACTATTATCCATTTCAATATGTAATAAACTGGTAACAATCTTTTCTTTCTGTACATTTCGGTACTATAAATTGCTCTACTGTATAATTACATGTTTATGTTTATTTTATAAAATTAAAATTTTGAAATCAAAGGTTATAAAATGGAAGATTGAAATAGGGCTAAGGATAACTATGCAGAATGAAGTTGCTTCGTTAGGTTTTTTTTAATATTTGTTATTATGTATATAGTTATAAAATACGTAATTGTTAAAAATAAAAATAACTATAAATCGCAACAGAAAAGTCAAATTTTCATTATTCGTCGTTAAGCAGGTGAGGTACACGAGATAATCAAAGTTATAGATTTAATGCTGAAAGTTTACAAAAACATTCGTCAGCGGAGGCCGCCTACATGCCTTAGAGATTATTATCGTAAGCTTTAGGAACGAAGCTGAAAGTCGTAAAGTTTGTTGCTTGTTAGGAGTCTAAATGTTTGTATGAATCCTTTTCGCCGCCGGCTATTTTTCGAGAAGTTTCTAATGATGCCGATGGGAATAATGTTGGGTTGGCCTCGGCTTGTGCTCGATTTATTCTCGTTAAATATGTTAATAATGCATGTTTGCTGTCTTCAAGGGATTATGACCCCGTCTATAATAATATCTAGTATATTATATACCAAACATTATTACAGGTGTTTCTTATTACGATAGAAAACATTTAAAGTGTTCATGTGTAATTAGTGTATAATGAAGTGAATGTGACATAATTTAGCGCAGTTTTGGTAGGCTACTAACTTGGGTTCAAGAAAAATAAGAGTTTCTTTAGTAAAAGTTGGTAACGGAAGGTAAAAAGATTGGGCTCGTCCGGGATTTGAACCCGGGACCTCTCGCACCCTAAGCGAAAATCATACCCCTAGACCAACGAGCCGCTTGTTCATACATTCGAAATTATCACTTTGTTTCTTCGCACACGTGTGTATGGTTAGTGAAAGGCACTTTCGAATGTTTGAACGTGTTTTTTTAATCTCTGGTAATGAACATGAAAAGGTGTCGGTGCTAACACATTACAGCAACGAGCAGATTGCAATGTAAACCTTGTCATAAGCATGTTAAATGAGAATTGTTGTATTTAGATGTTGTGTTAAAACAATATTATAATATAATAATTATTGATATAATTATGTTGTTCAAAAATTGAAAATAAAAATATATACACGTTGTCAAAATTAATTTTTCATTGTTAAATTATAATCACTTTTAGCTAACTAAGGGATTATACAACATACCCTTTTCCATTTTTCGGCTAGATGCTGCTATATGATGATGATATATTATCGTTTTGCATTTCGTCTGGTGTGTTAGGTAACCGAGGCCAATATTTGACAAGGATTTTTGAGGGATCTGCAAACTTATATATGTATACTGAGTATGATTAGTAATCGTGATGATATACAGCGAAATTGCTTCCATCTAATATAAAGAAAGCACATTACGCAATGTAGTTAGCTTGATTTTATATTCCAGACGTATCGTACCCATTACAATGTTCACGGGACAGTTCTGCCGCTAAATAGTTTAATTTAATCAAATGTAACTTTTACTGGATAAAGCCTTTCTTTTTATAGACGGTATAAGGGCTTAAGTAACTCGCTATGGAATGGATTTTGAGTTTTAGGTACTCTTTTGCAGTTTATCACTCGGTAATAAAGTAATACGTCGCGAGAACTTTTAACATTGTTACATGATGTTTTTTGATTCTCTTATTTTTTATTGAATTCAGATTTATTTCATTTTTTTAAAAAAATATGATATAAATAATTCGAAGCTTTCACCTTGCCTACTGTAGATTTGAATATTTTAATCGTTTTGCGTAAGCATTGCAGAGCCTTTGAGTAACAACAAAAAATCGTGCATCTGCTCATAAAAAGATAAAGGCCTAATTCTGCTACGAATAAATAAACTGTGAGGTTTTATTTTAAAGACCTAGATAATGATATAATTTTTTTTTATGGAAAACTTACAGCTAACATGAATCACTTTAAATTTGTCCCTTTGTCTTAGTATAACTTTTATCTAATAATAAAAAGGTATCGGCGGCTCTTGGTCGCGGATAGGGTAGATATTGGTAGATTTATCGCTTTTAGTCAATGTCGCACCTTTGCCAGTTATTGTTAGGAACGAATTTGTTGACCATTATGTCTACCTTGGAGAAACAGCCCAGTTAGGCAGATCTAACTTTGATAAAGAGGTTACTCGAAGAATCCAACTCGGATGGGCAGCGTTCGGGAAACTACGCGATATCTTTTCGTCCAAGATTCCGCAGTGCCTAAAGACGGGGGTGTATAACCAGTGTATGTTACAAGTCTGTTGGCCTTTTGGAGAAGCTCAGAGTAACACAACGAGCTCTGGAGAGAGCTATGCTCTTCTGTTGTTTTTTTTTGTATTGTCTGGAGTTTCGCCGTTGAGGAAATTCGCGCAAGAACTAGAGTCACATACATAGCTCTCCGTATTTGCAAGCTGAAGTGACAATGAGCAGGCCACTTCACTTGGAGAACTAACAATTGATGGGGAATAAAAGTTCTCGAGTGGTGACTACGAACCGGAGGAAAATGTAGCGTTGGAAGGCTTCCCTCCAGGTTGACCGACGACA